AGAAATTGCGTCACGGGCGCACGCGCAGCTCGCCCCAACGGCGCCGGCGCGCGCCGCCGCACGTTAAACCCAAGGCAGGAGGCCGCCGGGAGGCGCCACGCAGGAAAGGGGCGGGGCTTCTCCTCAGGGAGCGTAAAGCGCGGCGAGTTCGAAGGCCGGTAGGCGGCGCGTCCTCGTGACTCAGTTTCCCTCTAAGCGCTGTTTATTCCCCCCCCAACGAGGCAGGTAGTTTGGCTTCACTGGCACGAGGAAGGGGCAGGTAGCTCAGGGAGGTCAAGGCAAAGAGGCAGCCCTGGCTCCCTGGTCACCTCCCTCAGCCGCTTAGGAGCCCCTCAGTCCCACCCCGCCCCGGTGGCAGCAGGGCTATGGGCCTTCTCCTAACTGGAGCTAGGCGCACTGGAGGGAAAACTGCCCCCAGGCCCTGCTCTGCTGCTGGAGTGACAGAAGCAGGGAGGACAGATGCTCAGTGCCCTGGGGCTGCCAGGCACAGCAAGGCCCAGAGGGCAGGTGCTAAGGAGAGCAGCCTCGTCCCACCACAGCAGTCACTTCTCTCAAGCTACGTCTAGACTGCAAGCCTCTTTCGAAAGAGGCTTTTTTAGTGGGACACAACAGCCAACACCCAGGCGGCCCTGCTGAAAGGCAGGATAAGGGATGCCCTGAAGGTAAGGTGGGTTCCAGCGTGGCCTAGGGGATAGGGCCTGCACCTGGGGAGGGCAGAGTAGGGTGATGGGTTCAAAAAAGCCTTTTAAAAAAGAGCATCTAGACTACAACCAGTACTTTTAAGAAAGCAAGCCACTTTTTCAAAAGAGAGCACACAGGCAGTCTGGATGCTCTCTTTTGAAAAAGCAGAGTTGGCATTACATAGCACCTTTTTTCCCCCCCGCAAGAGCACTTTCAAAAAAAGGAGTTTGTCGTAAAACAAGGTTTTCCGTGGTCAAAAAAACTGCCGTGTTCTTTCGATTTAGTTTAGAAAGAACATGGCAGCAGTCTAGACACGGGAAGTGTTTTTTTTTGTTTGTTTTTGAAAAAGGGCCACTTTTTTCAAAAAAACCCTGTTGTCTAGACACACCCTTCCTGCAGGAACCACTCCTACTCGAAAGGTATGTCCAAGCATACATGTGGTCCGAGAAGGCTGTGTTCCCCTGCACATCTACTCACGTTATATGCGCCATCATGTGTCAGCAATGCTTCTCTGCCATGTACAAGCCAGGCTGTTCCTGCTCACAAGAGTAAACGGATGCAAGTCAGACATCAAGAACAGTAGCGTTTCAAAACCAGTAGGAAAGCAGTTTGTTCATGAGTGCCCAGGGAGGTCAGACTTGAAAGTTGTCATTCTTGAGCAAAAAAATCCCTGCAAAAACAGACGGCTGTGTGAAGCCGCAGAGCTGGAGTTCATATGCAAATGTGATGCTATCAGACTGGGTCTGAATAGAGACTGGGAGGGGCTAGGTCAGTAATAAAAAAAAAAAGTCAATTTTTCCCTTTTTGGTATTCTCACCTTAACCGTTGGGAACAGGCCACATCCACACTGATTAAACTGGCCTCATTAACAGTGGGCTCCACATAGTAATATAACTCTCCCATCTTTTCACCCGTGAATATATATCCATGCCCAACTGAAGATTCCACTTAATGCATCTGACAAAGTGGGCTCCAGCCCACAAATTGTTAGTCTTTAAAGGAGCCACAAGACTCCTCCTTGTTTATGCTAACACCCACTAACATGGCTACCCCTGTGAATTTGTCTTACATTACATATCCCATTGCTGTGGAAATCCAAAATGTGTAGACAGCACTTGCTGTAACTGTTACAGTAACCATCTACCAAAGCATAAACCTACATTTACCCATAATTTTACACAGTTTGGTTCCACCAAGCCAGAGGGAAAAGTTTTGAACCACATTCTCCTAATTCCTTGGGAGGATTTAGCAGCATAGGAGCTTTACTAGGATGGCACAAGGCATTCACTAATTTTCCTGCACTGTACTTTATTTACAGTGCAGTTGAGTTTACTTTTGTCTCCATGATTTAAAATTAACTACAGCTCATCTTGCTCTAAATGACTTTGGACATTGTGATCATTAATGCAGAATGATAGCACCCCAACTTAATATGTATAAATGCTCAGTAACATAGCATTTAAGTCCCTTAACTACACAAATTGCAGAAAGGTACGTTGACCTCTTTCCCCTCACATCTTAAACCTATGGGCTACGTCTACATTGGCAAGATTTTGCACAAAAGCAATTGCTTTTGCGCAAAAATCTTGCCACCTGTTTACACTGGCTGTGAGTACTTGCGCAAGAACACTGATGTTCTAATGTATAAAAATCAGTGCTTCTTGCGCAAATACTCTGACGCTCCCGCTCAAGGATAAGCCCTCTTGTGCAACTGTTCTTGCACAACAGGCCAGTGTAGACAGGCAACATCAATTTCTTGCGCAAGAAACCCCGATGTTTAAAATGGCCATCGGAGCTTTCTTGTGCAAGAGAGCGCCTACACTGGCACGGATGTTTTTGTGCAAAAGATGTGCTTTTGCGCAAAGGCACATGCCAGTATAGACGCTCTCTTACTCATAACGCAAAAACTCTTGCGTTAAAGAGTATTTGCGCAAAATCTTGCCAATATAGATGTAGCCATGCTGTAAGATCTTGTCCATTTCTGCCAAGTTTATCCAGGTATTTATATTTCCCTCATTGCCACAATATCTTAACTCCTACGCATGACAAAACACTATTTTTAGCAACACATTAAGGCCCAAACTTAAGTGACTAGTGATTTGGGGTGCCCAGAAGGAGACATTGTGGGCCTCATCTTCAGAAGGAAAACGCAAAAGGAACAATAGAAATTATAGATCTGCAGAACACAGATTACCATGTGTTCTAAAGTCATCTATTTCCCTTCATAAATGAAGATTCAGTACAAACAAATCTCAAGATACCAACACTAAAAAAAAAAAAATATCCAGCTAAAATTATTACTATATTGTTTATTTAAGTTAGATTACAATAAAACAGAGACCAATAGGATGCTGAAATTATTATAGCAACTATAATTAAAGACCCACTGAATATGCATGTTGCATATGTAGATAATGTAGTGCATCAGCATTTCCTGTAAGCAATATGGTGGTAAATTATGAGTTGGCTGCATAAATATAGAAAATGGAATACAGGTAGTTTCACAGTTTTACCAAGAGTATATGTTACAACTTTTACATTTTAAATTACTACACCAGAGTTTGAATGACATTGGATATATCTGCAGTGGTCCCACTACATAGGATATTATTCAACTGTGGAGGTAAACACAGAGCCAACAAACTGAAAACTACAAAAGAACCCCAACTCATAGCTGATGGGGAACAATATACTTCAGGTTTTGGTTCCTCCTTTTGTCAAGAATGTTGCAACTTATTTTCAGGCTAACACGTCTAGTTCTTCAAGTCAAAAGCAGCTGTACCCATGAGCAAACAACAATACCCCTCCCCAAACAATCTTAAAATCTTGTCAAAAACAAAGAAAAATAAAATGAGTAGAAAAATTAAAAGAGGCAGGGGAAAAGAGACAAAGTTCAGCTGCTTCCAAGCATGAAATACAGCAGGTAGCATATGGAACATCACACCTTTTGGTTTTATTTGTATCAGTTTTTATGCTTATAGAATAGCTGCTTTGCACAGTAGTTCTTGATTTCTATACACACATGGCCTTTACATTTAAGTCCCACGTGTAACAGTCTTCCATGCAGGCAACTTGCTTCTCTGTTTTGAAGCAGTGCTACTGGCTATCACATAGTCATATGCTCTGGTAGAACATAGGAGATGTCATCCCATGGGTGACGATACAGACCTTGTTTCAGCCTCTTCTGATCCAGATAGTGTCCTAAAACGAAAGTGATCTTTACATGGAGCAATCAGTTTCCATTCCTCCCAGACTGACTTTGCTTGAAACTTGTCCTTTCCAGGCCCCACAAATGATCTTATACACTAAAGCATGAGATCCAGTTACTCCAATTTCAGAGCATGACTACAGGTGTTATTGCTGTTTGTCACGAAAGCTTCCATGCTTTTTTTTTTTTTTTTTTTTTTAAATAAATCCAAGCATAGGACTTGGCTTTAGGCAGTCACGTGAAGCTGACATCGTAACTATTCTTAGGTGACATGAGCTCAAAACTTGCTTCTGAGCAACAGAGAAACCCCAAAATGAGCAAAAAGTCCTAACAAAACAAAAAGTCTCTCGTACAAAAGCTATGTAGATCATTTTAATTGCTAGAATTACATCCATCCCATGCTTTGCCTTTTGAGAAGCAATAAGTAGTACACATGATATGCCCCGTCACTGAGCAGGAAATAAGATCACTCCCTGTGTCACTGGGCATAAGCACAGAGGATTTGGATGTTTGTTGTTTTCTCAGTAGCAACTATGCAAACAGTGATGGTGCTGGCACTGTGCAACCAGTGCTTTCAGTTCCAGTTCCAGGGCAGTGGAGAGCTTAAAGATCATTCACGCAGCTCCAGGAGGATGGATGAGTATCCTAACTATTGTTCTACCATTAGCTTAAAAAGCCCAGCACCAAGAGGATCCCAG